TGCAATCGTGATGAATTCACAGCTGTCCAAAGACTACACCACTGATGAACTGTTCTGATTAATTATATTTTATTATCATCTTTCTTTCTGCCTATATTAATACAACCCTCTGCTACCTTAAATAATAATCCAGAGATTCTATGTGATTTACTTACATAGCACTTACCAATGTTTGTCACTGGTGAGTGTCCTTAATGTATAAGGATTACATTCAAAATATTGCACAGGTCTTCATGAGCATTTACATAGCTAAATTCTTACTGGAGCAGCTTCTTACAGCTTATTAAAATCAATTCACTTTGAAGACATTTTACCCAATAGCACCCTCTTGTGGATAGAACTGTAAATTGATACGGAGACCTGGACTCTGTCCCCAAATGTCCAAGGATTTTATCCAATTTCGTTGCTTAGCAAATCAAAGCATGATTATAAGGATAAACTAACCTATGACAGCACACAGAAAGTTAATAAATACCAGGTGTTAGTATTAAATAAGAACTCAAAATACCATAATCTGGTTACAGATTTGTTACTCATAAAACAAATATTTACTGAGTTAAGCTCTATGTAGTGTTTGCTGTGGAAAGGATATAAAATGAATAGCATCATTCCCGTGTCCTATTAAGCTCATATATTATTGTATTGGAGGCAGTGTAATGTAGGTCAATAATTACTGGTACCCTAAATAAAATGTAAATGACCTATCAAAGACAAAGCATTAAGCAAGTTCAAAACAAACCTATAAACAACTTGCTAAACAAAGTACCCTCTGGAATTCACAGAAAAATTGTTAGGGACCAGAGTCACTCTGCAGATAAAAGAAAGATTGTAAAAAGAAAAAGGTAGAAGAATAATAAATAGGAAAATAGTAGTTATAAGGAGATGTATAATAGTTTGGCCAGATTTGGATGATAGTATGAAATAAACCAAAGGTGGAACATTGCATGAGACCAAAGTATGGAAGGTTGTTTTTTTATCTAAAAGGAGTTACAATATCATAGCTCTACTTAAGAAGGTTTATTTTGGAAGTTGTTAGACGGATAAAGGAGATTAGCATCTATTTCAATTAGAGAGGATGAGTGTGTAAAATTACAAGGAAGAACCAAGATATATAATGTGATAATGAGGATGCTTTCACATTTCTGACAAAGTAAAAAAAGTCTACAAATCATGGCTCACTATTTTAATTCCAATATCAAACAAAATTTCTGTCTGAGTCAATACAATAATACACCCTGCAAAGTAGAGCGACTCACCCTCAGGAATATTGTCTCAATGACAAATAACCTCTTTGCACATAATATCCACTATCTCCCTGTATTTCCCTCAGAATCGTACATAGAAAAAAAGAAGTGCATAGTACTGATAGAAAAATGGTCAGTATTTTTCTGGAAAATAACTGGACAATACAATCTAAAAAAATTAACAGTGCCCCATGACCTAGAAGCTCTGTCTTTAAAGCTTCACACTAATGGAACAATCTGTACTCAATAAAAAATGTAAATCTGAGGATATCATAATAGCACTCAGTGATTCTGAAAAGTTAAAACACTCTAATTGTCCTATGATAAATAATTAGGCTAAGAAATTATTCCAAAGTTAAATAATGGTACATTACTGAACTATAACATTGTACTACACAAAGACATGATCTAACATGCTGATACTCATGTTATTAAGTAACATAAAAAGGTTATAAAACAGTATTAATAGTGTAATCTTACTTTTGATTTTAGGATAGGTAATATAAACACAAGTGTAATGCATTAAAAAAGATTATGCTGGATGTATGAAGCTCTGCTCTATGTTCTTTCCTTTGTGGTACTTTACCTAAAGTAGACTAATGTTATTATAGCAAAGAATATTTTTTTTTGTCTTTTTCATTTTTATTGGTACCAGGGATCGAACTCACGACTGCATGCTTGCAAGGCAGGTGCTTATGCCGCTGAGCTAAATCCCAGCCCCGCAAAGAATATTTTTTAAAAAGAAGAGTAAAATATTTTTTGAGACATACAGAAATAAAATTTTAAAATAAATTGCAGTCTCTGTCGCTCCAAAGTTCTAATAATCCAAGAGTTAACTGTTCAGCCTGACCGAGGTCCTCACCCTGCTGCTTTCTTCCCTTCTCACTTCTCAGATTCACATTTAATTCAACCTTCGGTCATTTGGTGAAAATAAACCATGTAAGTTAACTTAGTTCTTTGGGGGCTAACGATAACTAACCAAATGAGCCGGAACTCAGGCTGTTCTCCTAAAAGGACAAGTGGCAATTATCGAGGACAGTGCTGAAGAGGCAGAGTTTGAATGCTGGATCTGCTTAAGAGTCACAGGATCAAGTGAGAGATGCCACACAATGAACTTTGGGAAAAATAAGCTAACATACAAAATTGCTAATTGACTCTGACAGTCAAGATGTACTCAGCTAAAGTCCCCTTGTATTTGCCATTGCATGAGGCAGTGAAACTAATTTTTCCTCTAATACCGTGACTTTCTTCCTTAGTTTGGCCTGTGTTCTGCAGCCAAAGCTTCCCGGGTATAAGAATCTTCTGATTCTAAAAGATGGTTATGCAACCTCTCTAGCTCCTGATTTAACCGTAACTCTTTGTCACGTAAGTGCTGAACCTAGGTGGAACACATTTCTTTTATCTTTCTTCTACACAATGCTCCCTCGGCACTTCATCTCCTGCCTTGCAAACCACTGTATTATCAAATCTTTTCCCATTATTGAAACATATTAATTGTATATTAATATGTCAAACATATATTTATACCAGGATCAAGTTCTGAAATAATATCAAATTTTCATTTAAAAGCGTTATTTTGTAAGACCTCACTTGCTGTGTGAGTAAAAGGGAAAATGGGATTATGCAAAAGTCCTGAGCGCTCCACTAACTACTCTTTCTGTAATCTCACTGTTTTTTTTGGAACAGTGTGGGTGAGATCTCTTTTTTTGATCAAGCATATGCCTTGAGGCTATTGTGGCTTTCCTTAGAATAGCCAGCCCTGTGTCCTCCAGGATGTTCTTGTTCTGCAGAGACAGTTTCTCCCTCTCTTGGCACTTTAAAATTTTCAAATAAATTTTGCCTCTGCAAAACAACAACAACAAAAAAGGAATAAGTCATCATTTTCACTTTTGAAAACTGAAATAAAATGAACCCTTAGAAATCAAAAACTGTACCACTGCAAATCGGAGGATGAAAATGTACAAAAATAAATTTGTCTTACTGATAGTCTTTCTAGTTATCTTACTCAAAGGTTATTAAATTTATCATTTGGCTCACTGTTCTTTCAAAGTGAACACACATCTCATTCTGTGGGGCGTTGCTTTTCCATTTGGTTCTGTTTCAGAGACGTGATTTGCTCTTTCTCCAGTTGAAATGTTATTTATTGTCTTCTTCTGAGTTCTTCTAGCTGCGTTTAAAAGCTGATTTAATTTCCCAGTCCTGCTTTTTTTGGAAAGAAATGACCTGAACTTTAAAGAAAATACAGTTTTAAAAAGACATTCTCTTGATTGAATAGTTCATTCAAAAATATCATCATTATGTCAAAGTCACAAAAACAATAAAAATCTGAGACAACAGTCTCGAGGAGACTAAAGAGGTACAACATCTGAACATCAAGGATGAATAGAGAGCAGCGTGGAAGAGGTAACCTTTGGTAAAGGTTAAAGAATTTGAATAAAGTGTGAACTTGAGTAAATAGTTCATTCCTACTATGATTGGTTTGTTTGTTCTGACACATGCACCATAGTAATGCAAGATCATGACAATAACAGAAACTGGCTGAGAGGTATGTGAGAACTCTTTTTATAGTTTTTGCAACTCTTCCAAAAGTATAAAACTATTTTAAAATAAAAAGTTTATAAGAATTATTTTTTAGTAGCTGAGTGTGGTGATGCATGCTTATAATCCCAGCACTCAGGAAGCTGAGGCAGGAGGATTGCCATGAGTTTAAAGCCAGCCTATGTTACATAGCTCAAAGTCAGCTTGAACTACACTGTGAAACTTTGTCTCAAAAAAAAAGTATTATTTTTCAGTAGTGGGTGTTGAACCTAGTGGTTTCACACTGAGCTACATTCCCAGGTGTTTTGGTTTTTATTTTTGTTTTTGGAAACAGGGTCTCCCTAAATTGCTGAGTTGCTCAGGGATGGGCTTGAAATTCCATCCTCTTGGCTCAGCCTCTAAGAGTTCTGGGGTTACAGGTATGCAGCTCAGTATGCAGTATACACTCAGCTATTAGAAATGTTTTAAAAAGGAAACTAAAAGGCAAAAGTCTCTTCAAACTTATGCCATATTAAAAAATGTGCACAAATTCTGAAATCATTAATGAACTGTGATTGTTTCTGTGTGTGTGTGTGTGTGTGTGTGTGCGTGTCCATTCCTCAACTTGGAAAGCATCAGTGCCAGGGGACCAGCAAGAAGGGATGCCATGCTACACGTGCAGCCTATTTTAAAAGAACATTTGGAAAACACTTAGCAAACATAAGTCTGGACTAATACCTAGACAATAAAATAAAAATGTACCCTGAATAAATTCCATATAAGGATAATAGATTAACAACAAAGAGAAAAGTAAGGCCATCAATTTCAGAGGACAGCTGGAATTCTAAAAAGTATACACACACAAAATCAGGCAGTATATAGCCTGTTATTTTCTATTTTAAATAAGTATATCAAATGAATATATGGTTTAGTATTACATTAATTTTTCATGCAAACGTTCCGTTTCCTTAAGAACATATACACTGAGGCTGGGTGTGGTGGTAACGCCTGTAATATCAGCACTAGGGAGGCTGAGGTAGGAGGACTGGCATGAATTTGAGACCAACCTGGGATACATAAGCAAGTTCAAGGCCAGACAGCACTACATAGTGAGACCCTGCCCTAATCCCTTCGCACAAATAATTAAACCAAAAGATATCTCATTGTGCATTCCTGAATAGGGAGGCTGTTTCAGTTACTTTTCTCTCATTGCTGCGACAAAACACCCAACACCCAAAATGAAGAAAGGAAAGATTTATTTAGCTCACTGTTTGTGGAGGTTTCAGCCCATAATCAGCTGGCTGCACGGAGGGGTGGTGTGGCACGGGGGCAACACTTCCAGGCAGCAGCCAGAGCAAAAGCAGCTAGAACAAAAGGAAGCAAACAAGCCTCTTCTGGCTTTTCCAGACTTCTGGAGTATCCACAGCACCTTTGGTACTGTTTCTTTAGAGGAGTCCTGTCTTCACCTTCGCCTTGGATGTCATCTCCCAGATTCAAGCGCAGACCCTTTAGCCTTCTGGTGCCTCCTGAAACAGACTCACAGGGACAGTACAATGAGAGCCAGTCCTTCAGCTGTATCCCAGTGCACAGATGGGCCTTTTGCCCTCTTGCACACCTGACTTTGTGGGCTTCCATTGTAAACCGATCTTTGAAATTCTTATGTTTTTGAATATCTTGTATTAAGTCTCTTTCTGTAGTAAGCACTCACTGCTATGGTTCCTTTTTCCCTAGATCTCCTGCTCTGGCCATATCTAGGCCACAATTCTGGGGAGGATTTGTTCTTTTTTGCCAGTGGTTGGCACTTGACAGGGCTCATGGTACTTTTATTCAAGCTCGAAGACACCCCAGCAGGCACTCAGATGGCAATGGAGTCCTCTGCCAGATGCATGGGTATCATGCCGAGTACTGACATTGTCCTGTAAGGTTTGATTAAAAGAACTGGAGTGAACAGGGTTAGGACGGGATAGGAGGAGGAGAGGAAGCCGCCTTCACTGATCTCTGTTACCAGACTGGCCGTGGCCTCTGACCATCCCTCATGAGGCCTATAGAGGGAGCCAGAAATCAGTCTGCTGGTTTAAGTTAAGACCCTGAAGTTTGGAATTTTGTGGCTGCTGCAAACCCAGCCCAGCCTGAATAGCGCAGACAGAGCTCCTGAAAGCCAATGGAAAGTGTCCTCACCTGGACAGGATCTGGGAGCACAAGGAAGGCTGGAGAGAGCCATGGAGAGAACCCAGGAGATACTGTTAGGAGGAGCTCAGCTGTGCTGTGTGGGAAGTCAGCATAGAAGGAGGATGAGCAGGGACAGGGAGGTTGGCAGGGCCACATGGGGCAGCTGCACCCATGTGTTCCAGGCCAATAGCTGCCAGGGACCTGTGCCCTTAGGAATCGAAGCTGCATTTCCCAAAACAAAGCTCTTATAAGGGAACTTGATGAACAATTAGAGATAACAATCTTCAAAAAAAAAAAAAAAATTCCACTGTGCTTCTGTAGTAGAGAGCCCAGGGAACAGAGCAAGAAAGGTGTATCAAGTAAAATCATCTTAATCCACAGTTAGGACTCTCAAAATAAATTCTAAGATTGATTAATGTAATTGCCTTTGTTTTTAGGCCAACTCTCAGCATTCCATTTTGAAGATGAACATACAAACAGAAGCACAGAAAGGTGGCAAGAATATTGGAACCCCAGTACTGCTGTTGTGGCCAGGAAAGGAATGACACTCAAAGTCAGGAGGCAGAGAGCAGATTTGTTTTACACCAGTGGTCCTGGCTAGAATAACTTCCAACAAAATGCAGGCAGTGAGTGTCTATGAGCCAGCATTCTTACATGAGGCGTAAGCAGGGGTTACAAAGGCAGGCTGGGACAGCCTGATAGTTCTTCTGATTAGCTGGCAGGCTGGGGTCATTAGTTACAGGGCTAGCTTAATGACCGTCAGTTACAAGACTAGATTAATGACCACAAATCTTGGTACAATCAAGAATCCTGAATGTTCAGTTACACTCCTGTGGTTACAGGGGTCATGAAAGCAACTACAGAGCCATGAAACAGTTACGGAGGTAGGCAGCTTCAAAGAAAACAAAGTTTTAAAAAGAATACTTTTTTGTAGCACAGTTTTCCCTTTCATTTCTCCCTTTTGTCATTACTCAGAAAAGTCTTTTTCTGTGTTGCTGCTACCTAAAGCTGCATGAGAAAGAGGACCTCTGAGGGCCATTTGGAAACTTGCGTTATTGATCTGTTTTGAAACAAAGAGGGTAATCCAATTAATCAGGCAGGCCCCTATCGGGGTATTAACAGAAGGGCTGTCAAGGGACCCAAAAGGCACCTAGCTATGGCTTCAAGTCAGATAGACCTCCTGCTTCTGATTTCATTCTTCTGCCTGGTTATCTAATCTCCCTTGCGATCGGTACAGACCTTCCCAGACTATTTCAGACTTATTAGCATAGACACAGCAGTTTTCTCTTTGAGCATTACAAACTCCTCCCGCTGGGGCACAACTCTATGATTAGTAATGACACAGTTATAGAATAGCAAACTTATAGACTTATAAGTTTATACAATTTATGTTATAGCAAGTTAAAATCAAATAGCAGCCTCTGCCTATGCTCCTGCTGCCTGTCACGTCAACACCCTGCTGAATTCAGTCACCTTGACTGTCTGGGTCCAGCTGCTTTCCTTCTGATAATGCACTGGGCCAATTTGACTATTTCCAGCTTATGTTTTCTTAATTAAGAAAATATATTGCTTATTTTTTTATTTAAAGAGAAAAAAACAACCAAAGCAGTAAAAGGGTACAAGTAGTACAGAATTTCAAGAAAAAAATATACCGTAAGAAATCACTAGTTAATAGGTTACATATTGTCATCTTAGAAACAGTTGTCCAAATTACAAAATTAAAGCACACAAAGTGGACATTCATACAGTGAGATTGCAGACAGTTCTGTTCAATGATCCAACAAAAACTCAGTAATATGGTTTTCTATCCTACATACTTAAATATACATGCAGTTATATCCTTTAGGCCACTTTCTTTTCCTCTCTTGAAAATATATTGCTTCTAACTGGCTTCAAGGACTTTGCCTGGGGGGAAGTAGTAATCCAGTCAAAGATACTTTTTAACTTTGCTTGCTCCACTTGAACTCCTTCCCCTCATTTCCAGGATGTTTCTAAAATAAACAATTCCTTTTAAGCAAATGTATTTAGAAATCATTTTTCTGACAAACTATGACTTAATTACATCCATGTAACCAATCGTGAAATGCCTTGTACTTCCTGCCATCTAACTATATTTAAACTAAACCCAAAACTGCCTCAGTGCTAGTGATTTGGACTTGATCTCACTAGCACAATAATAAACACTGCTTTCTAGATTTCTTGGTGCAAAGAGTCTTCCATTCAGTTTGATACCGGTTTTTTGGTAACACTCTTTGCTGTAGAAAGGCAACTCCTCTCCTATTTTGGAGGACAACTTCGGCAAGAGAATCTACTTGGTCCTGTAACAATGATACCCTCAAGCCTTGGAGTTCCTGGACAAGTTTCAAGTCAGATAGACCTGGGGACCATCCCTGTTTCTGGTTTCATTCTTTGGCCTGGTTATCCAATCTCTCTCGCAATTATTGCAATTGGTTGAGTTCCACTTTCCTGGTGATTAGAGCAGTTGTTCCTAGCCTGACTGAACTACCTAGGCTCATTCCAGCTAGGACTGGGATTACTGGATGGGCCTCTAGTCCAGAGTGACAGGAGCAAAGCTTGGAGTGTTATTGCATTATTTTCAGGGGTTGGTCTTCCAACAGTGTCTGGGTGAGCCTTTTTGATCCGAGAGTGGTCGATCCATGGCTGGATTTCTGATACTTTGATAGCATAGTGGTTTTTTCTGTTCTAGGGGTAAATGTCTCTGGCCATCCAGAATAAATAAAGACAAGCACCAGGAGATATTTATAGCCTCTGCATGGTTTTATCTCTGTAAAGTCTATCTGTAAGTCTCAAAAAGGGAAATTTCAGTATACCTGGTGGGGGTTCAGGCCCAGTGGGGCTCAGTCCTTGCATAGATTTGACATCTCTGACTAATGGAGGCACTAATAGGCCAAATTCTGAGGGACAGTCATTTGATCATCTGTTAAAGTCCTAGCACTGTTTGGTCCCATGTGGGCCCCTTCTTGCTGGGCCTATTTTTTTCTTCTTTGGAATGGTACAGGGGCTCACTGCCAAGACTGAGGACAGTATCGAGGGCGTTACATATAGGGTTTTCAATTTCTGTTTCAAATCACATGCCCCCAGGCGGAGCCCTCTGCTGCCAATTTTGCAGCTTCATCTGTCTTGTGGTTTCCAAGAGTGACAACATCTTTTATTTTTTGAGGTCCTTCACAGTGGTAATGGCAACCTTTCTGGCTTCCAAATTGCAGGTAGGAGTTGAGAGATTTCATCCTTGCTTTTAATTTGTTTTCCTTCCACTATAAGAAGTCCGTGTTGCTTGCAGAGCATTCCGTGGATAGGAACGGTAGCAAAAGCATACCTCGAGTCAGTGTAAATGTCCACTTACTTTCCTTTTGCTCCCTTAAGAGCTTGTATCAAGGTCCGTAATTCAGCTGACTGAACAGACCAGCCATCGAGGTCTGGCATGGAGCACTTCTTCCATGGTAGCAATAGCATATCCAGCCTGGTGTTTCCCAGCCTTGACTGAGCTGCTTTCATCTGTAAACAAGGTGTATGGAGCTTCAATAAATGTTGCCTCTGTAGACCTGGCCGGCTAGCAAAGGGCTCACCACTCAAACCTGGACAGTCATGTTGAGGGGACCAAGTTCAGCGGGCAAGAAGGTAGCTGGGTTCCGAGGTTTAGTCAGTTGAAAAATGACTCGGGGATTTTCACAGAGCAGTCCTTGATACTGAGCAACACAGCTATTGGGAAGCCAACAGTGTCTCTAACTATTCAATAACTTCAGAACATCATGAGGGGCTTGAACTGTCAGATTTTGTCCTAGGGTCAGCTTGTCAGCTTCTTTAATCAGAAGGATGGTTGCTGCCAGGCAGGGAGGCCAGCCCTTAGCCACAGAGTGTAGGCTCTTAGGCAAACATGTGATGGGCCTCCCTCAAGGTCTGATCTTTTGGGTCAGGACTCTTGATACTGCATATCTGCCCTGTTCAGCAACAAACAAGTTAAAGGGTTCTGTCACATTGGGAGTGTGTACTGCTGGGGCTGCTGACAGCACATGTTTTATGCTCTGAAAATATTCAGTGTGTTCTAAAGTCTAATTTAACAGTTCTCTTTCATTTTCTTTTCCTGTCAACATGTCATACAAAAGCTCAGCCTTCTCAACAAACCCCAGGGTCCAGATTTGACAGAAACCAGCAGCACCCAAAGATTCTCTAAGCTGTCTTTTATTTTTAGACCTTGGAATGGAGCAAATGACTTCTTTTCTCTCTGATGCCTGAGTCTTTTCTCTAAGTCAGACCCCAGTAGTACACTTTCTGTCTCCGTGTTTGGGTCTTCTTCCTGGATACTTCATGGCCTGTGGCCCATAGGTGGTGGAGAAGCCCTCTGTTCCCTTCCAGCAGTCTGATTTACTTGAACTGCAAATCATAATATCATTGATATACTGTATGAGAGTGCAGTTAGAGTCTGCATGTGGAAATTGGGCCAGGTGAGCAGCTAGAGCATCCCCCCAAAGTGTGGGGGAGTTCTTAAATTCTTGTGGTAAACAAGTTCAGATAAGTTGGCCTTTTGGTCTCTGGGTTCTCTCATTCCAAGGTGAATATGGGCTGGCTGACAGGTATGACCCATGGACAGAAGAAAGCATCTGTTAAACACAGACAGATGAAACAGGCAACATCAGTGGGAAGCAGACCCAGGAGGGTAAAACTGTCGAGTGCAGAGTTGTGGTGGCTGAGTTGATGGCATGGAGGTCTTGCACTGGCTGATGGTCCCCACTGGCTTTTCCCTCCAGGAGGAAAGGAGTGTTCAAGGCAACTGACAGCCTGTTAGGATTCCAATCTGCCGGGTGCCACACTGAACCTCTCATGACATTAGGTACTGCTTACCATCAGTGGGGGTTGCACTTGGGACTGAGCTCAATCATCTAACAGGCATGATTTATAGAAATCCCCAGAGCTGAGTCCTCTGCCCATATTTCTGGAAACAAGTCTCTCAAAACTTCAGGATTGTGATTGTCAGGCATTTCAGGCTGATGTAGGTACCATTGTTCCTCTCAGGATACAGTTGGAGTCAATATCAAGTCTGGGACAGTAGACCCAAATATGAGGGAGGCTGAAAGGAGGTCATGCCCCAGGAGAGGGATGCAAGAATTTATGTCTGATCATGACTCCACCAATCCGCAGGACCTGCTTTGACAGAATTTTTTTTCCAGTGGAAGCTCTGGTGGTGCCAATATCCTGTATTTGCCGGGAGGTTAAGGGAGCAGCAGCCTGAGCCACAGCTGAATGTTCAGCCCCCTTGTCCATCATAAAAGTTGTAGGTTTTCCCCCAATTCTGGCAATGAATATGAGCTCCCAGTCTAATAGAGCCCAGTTTAACCAATTCATTGTTGTCCCTGTATTGGAGAGAGAGAGAGAGAGAGAGAGAGAGAGAGAGAGAGAGAGAGAGAGAGCTGGTGGGGTGGCTCTGGATAATCAAGTTTCTTTGTATCTTGCAGATGTAGGGGCATTTATCTTTCCAGTGTCCACACTGTTTGCAATGAGCACATTAGTCAGCTGACAAAGCATAAGATCTGCTGCTAGCTTCAGGCTATAAGGCTTGAGGGACCCCTTATGTTGGTTGACACAATGGAATTGTCATTGGTGGGACACTTTAGGAAAGCAGCTTTCTGCTGCACATTGTGATCTGCCTCCCATTATTGCCCCCCTACCTTGATTTATAAAAACCTTCTGAGCAATCTGAAGGTATTGAGTAGCATTCATGCCAGCAAAGCCATCAACCTTTTGGATTTTTTAATATCAGAAGCTGACTGTGCCACAAAGGCAGCATTGACCATCTCAATTTTTAGGAGCCTCAGGGTCAAAGGGTGAATAGAGCTGGTAGGCTTCACAGAGTCCCCCATAAAATTTGGCTGCAATTCCATTGGGTTCCTGAGTAGCTTCAGTAACTTTAGACATGTTTATTGGATTTTTGCCTCCTCCTTTAAGTCCTATGAGGAGAGCAGTGGGGTACTGTTCTAAGGCCTCGTGGCCTTCTGCTGTATTACAGTCCCAGTTTGGACACACAAGGAGGAGGACTGTATCCTCCCAAGCATGAGGATCAACCACAGGAGTAGGGACTTTTGATTTTAGCCAGGCTTGGGCCAGCTCTAAAATGCAGTGGCATTCTTCTGTATTAAACAGAGTTAGAAGGAGCTACTGACAGTTGTCCTATGTTGGGTCAAACCAAGTGGGTCTGGTCAACTTAAGAGGTCAGTGGAGCTAAATAGCGGTAATACATCATGGACAGCTGATTTGGTACATTTCCCTGAACTCCAGGGGAAATATGAAGTGGTAGATGTAAGTGGCTTGGAGGGTCAGACTGACCTGCAGAGTGGAGGTGATGGCTGATACAGCTGCAACCCAGCTCCATGGGATCAGTGTGGCTGCCACATGATGGAGAGTCAGTTCTAGCTTCAGAAGGCACATTAGATGTTACTGGTGAAGCTTCCAGGTCAGGAGAAGAAGAAGGCTGTGATACAGAAGACAGAGGTGACAGTGGGCTGTTGTGGCTGACTGAGCAGCTTAGGGGTGATAAATGTAAGGAGGAGGCAGGTCAGATTGGAGTCCTCTGGCAGAACAGGATAAAGCTTTTCTGGCTTGAGCTGAATCTGAGAGCCTCTCAGATGGCTTTGTGGATTTGTTTTGGTGACAAGAATGGCTTTCTCATCAATCAGGACACAAGTGTGGAGCTAAGGTGGGAGACTCTAATATGAGTTGAACCAGGAGTCAATATAAGGAAACTGGTCAGGATGGCCCCACTTGTTGGGCTCTGTCACTTAGCTCCATACTTGAGGGATAATTTCAGCATCAAGTGTCACTTCAGCTGACCAGCAAAGGTTTGGCAATTCAATTTCACAAAAGGCATGGAGCTTCCAAGGTTTCAGTTTTACTCTATAATCGATAGGAAATCCTCTTTTGAAGTTTTTCAGCACCAAAGACCATTCGTTTACTCTGGCTTGTTTCCATTCTTTCTCCTTACAGTGCATGCTTTGTACCCTTGAACAATGGTGAAACAGACAAAGGGTGGGTGCCCCTCAAATGAGAAACCAAATGCTTGTCAGATCTGCCTGCTTCCCTTGTGAGGCCATAAGTTCATCCGGCAGTTGGTGCACCCTGGGCCTGATCAAACTCTCATTACAGAAGCTGCATTACATGGAATGCAGAAATCTGACCCACTCAAGCTCCATAGCTCTGAGGCCCCAGAGGGGTCTTTCACCATGGAGCACAGATGGAATGGTCTACTGCTTTCACCATCCATTGCAAACCCTCACACAATCACTCAGCAGGCACTCAGAGTTAAAAATTCCAACCCCTTTCTCTTGAGGGTGACCTTAACTAACAAAAGGTGATGAAAGCCTTCTGCTAGAACTAAGCAGGACGGACAGACTGACTGATTGGGGTGCACTCGGGGGTCTTACCTTATCTAATGACCTGACCTGAGTGTGTCCTTTCCCCCTCTTTTGGGTCTGAGGGGGTCCTTTAGCACTGAGTATAGGCCTCCAGTCCAAGCCAATGAAGGGACTCCAAGAAAATCTGGAGGGTGTGCCTTCCCACTGAGTATCCTGGAGATGTCTCTGCTCCAGCTGCCAGGCCCCAGTGGGCTAAGTGGAAGCACAGCCTTCCTAGTCCAAGAACCAAGAATGTTGTGGCAAAGCTGAGTCTGGGAAAGGAATGACACCCAAGAAAGTTAGGAAGCAGTGAATAGCTTTGTTTTACCCTGGTGGTCCTGGATGGAATAACTTCCACCAAAAGCCAGGCAGTGAGCATCTGGGAGCCAGGTGAGATAATCAGTTACAGAGCTAGATTAATGACAATCAGTTATAAACTAGATTAATGACCACAAACTTGATACAATCAAGTATCCTTAGTGTTAGGTTATGCTCTCGTAGTTACAGGGGTCAAGAAAGCAACTACAGAGCCAAGAAACAGTTACAGAGTTAGGGATCTTTACAGAGAACAAATTTTTTAACAGAATAGTTTTCCCTAGTGCAGTTTTCCCTTTCACTGCCTTGTAGGTACACAGTGTACCTGGAGGTCCACTAAATTCCTCTGTTGCAAGATAGGGAAATGAGACTTAAGTCACAGTCTTCCCTTGAGAATGAAAGTGCAAAGTGCCCTCTGAATGCTCATACCCAGCCACCCATGAAGCAATAACTGAGACTGCAGGCAAGAGACTGCAGCCAAGAAATTTTTGGGGGGCGATGCGTGGTGTTCCTCTTCACTAAATGAAGAAGACACAGATCTTCACCATGTGAGCTCAGAGCACACTGTCACCAGGGCTTGCTTCACCCTTCTGGGCCCAGACCTCTGGAGGTGTCACGTGAGTGGCCTCTTTGGTGTCTGTGTGGTCCAGAGTAAGATAGAGCTCATGGTGTGTCTGTGAGTGGTCACATCCTTTGTGTGTCTATGCATGTGTGTTTATGTGAGTCCATGAATTCTTGTATGTGCACCTGAGTCTGTGTGTGTCTGGGTAAATAATGTGAAAAATATGGTGAATGGTTACATTTTAAAAAAATTCATTACAGTGAAAGACACATTGTCATTAATATCTCTCAAAATCCTCTCCCTTCCTTCTTCACATACACTGTTTGCAACATTCTTGTCCCTTTCTGAAGCAATTTAAGAATGTTTCCTTTCTTAAATGTCTCTAGTTGTGCCATGCTGGATACTGCAATGTCCTGCAACAATTCAAAATTTTTAGATTTGGTCATCATTTTTATGCTGGAGAAAAGCCAGAAGTCACATGGTGTCAAGTCCAGTGAATAAATTTCATGAGGACACATCATATTTTACAAACCTGCCTTTCTGTTGGATTACCCATATTCAGGGTAATTTGGACCACACTTTATAAAAACAGTTATGAAAGATGATTTCCAGAGCTGTTCAGAAAGTGGCAAGAACGATGGGATAAATGAGTGCAGAAAAAGAGGAGTATTCTGAGGGGATTAGTGGCAATAAAGTGTCTTTTACTGTAATACATTTTAAAAATTAACAGTCACCTCATATTTTGCTCACTTTTTTCACGTGCCTCTATAACTATATAAAACGTCAACTCAGTATATGAGCTCAGTTCTTCCCACAGTCTGAATTGGATGAGAACTGAATCAAATTCAATGGTTAGGTTCAAGATTGACCTCATGGGGAAATTTGATTTGGTTCTTGTCCAATTTGATTTGTGGCCAGAATCATGGAAAGATCATGGAAAGAATTAAGTTAGTGGACCAAGGTATATATCTGTATATTTATGAATCTGTACCTGGGTGCCTGCATGTGTGTATATATACATATATATGTGTGTCTTATAAATATGAAAATTGTTAGACTCCAAATGGAGTCATTTGTGTCAAACCTAACAAAATGGAGGAGGGAAATGGGGATATCAGGGGAGGGCTCTTGGGTACTATTTACCTGGTGACAGAAAATGTCACAAGAAATAGTACTGGGAGCTGCTGAGCCAGTGATCATTCACATGTGTGAAGTCAAAAGCACAAGCGCCCAAACAGAGGTGCCCCAGGGGCATGGAGCTCCTGAGATCACCCTGAGGGCATGGAGTGTTGGAGGTGAACAAGGGTTCCATCCCTGAGAACATGGGAGAGCATGGGACATGAGTAGCAAGCTAGTTAAGCAAAGGGCATGGTGTGACAAATGTATAAACGTATTGCAGTGTTGAACAGTCTCTTCCTCCCATCCAGAGAAGGGGTCCACCTGACCCCAACTTTCTGTCTCCATATTTTCTTCATCCTCTGGTTCTTCACTTTGGGAACTTAGAGAGAGCTTGCAGTCCCCAATGAAATAGTTCCAAATTGTAGCCTTTTATATGATCCAAAAAGGACAGCAGGCCTCTGCACTACAATACACACCTGACAGCAGGGACTAACAGCATCCACTGAGATGATGTTCAGTATATGGCGTCCACATAGTTTCCAAACAACTTACATATACACCCCCTTTTCTTCACAGAGCTTCTTCCTTCACGACCCCCAGAATATGCTCATGGCTGCAAGGAACACAGGTTCCCCATGGCAAAGCACAACTTATTCCCAAAAAAACTCATTTTTCAGGAAAGTCTCAATCTTCACTGGGTTGACACAAAGAACCCACATAAATGGTGTTTTGGTTATTTTCTTGTTGTGAGACAAAATAGCCAACACTGAAAGAAAGAAAGGTTCAATGCAGCTCTGAACTTGTAGAGGTTTCAGTTCATAACTGGCTGACCCTAAGGCTGGGTGGCATGGCAGAGGTGCGTCACAGAGGAGAAACCTCACGGCAGGAAGAATGAAGCAAAGCAACAATAGCAGCCGATCTCTCCCTTTTATCTCTTCTAGGCTCCTACCCTTTGAGTGATGCCACTCATACCCAGAGTGGGCCTTCCCGTTACATACATCCAGAAATATGCCAAACCAATAAGCGAACTAATTTAGGAATCACACACACTTAATTCCAGCAACACATGATCCAGTCACCTCTGAAAAACCCCACCTAATACTGCATTTATGACTCTGTGGGGAGATCTAGATACAAGCCATAAAATTATGCCTCTGACTCCTCCCCCCTTGAAGACTCATGTGCATCTATTGATGCAAAAGGCATTTAGTCCATCTGCAAGAGTTACCAAAGTCCTAACAGTATCAGCATCGCTGAAAAGAGCAAATCTAAAGTCTTTTCTGAGATTAAGTCTTTTCTGAGCTAAGCAAACCCTTAGCTATGAGGCCTTGTGCAAATGAAAAGAAAGTTAAACACTTCCAACATACAATGGCCCAAGAAGACATTTCCATCCAAAAGGTACAAAGAGGAAGATAGAAAGAAATGGAAACAAAGAAGATCAGAATCCAGCAGAGTAAACAGTACATCTCATAGCTCCATGTCCAAAATCTGGGCAATCTATGGCAAATTGTGAACTCCTAAGGAACTGATTGGGTGGCTCTGCCCCTTCAGCACTTCCAGTGGTGCTAGTGGTGCTCATGGCATCTCTTTTTGGCCAGCTTGGCTCACTCCTTATGGCTTTCCTCAGACAGTCCATGCTCCTGGTTTTTCGGCCTCTTGGGGTCTCCATAAAACCTTTGGCTTCAGACTCATAGCCTCCCACACTGCCCTCTCAGAACACACTGTTCGGCATCCCAGGCCTTCTTCTGAAATCTGGGTGGAAGCCTACTTGTCCCTACAACATGATCTGGAATCCAACAACCAGTGTCATCTCAATGGAAACCTCCTGAGCCTCTTTACCAGCAGCATTTCTATCAACATTCTGGTCTTCTGAGCTCTGGTGAGTCTGCCATCAACAGCTTAAAGCATTTCAGGGATGATTCTTCAGCCACATCTCTAAACCTTTCCAAACTCTTCCCACAAGCCATTTCCAGTCTCTTGAGCCACATGGCCATGTAATGTCACAGCTAAGACTTCACCCCTGGAATCAAAATCTGGCTTAGTGAATTTTCCCATTGCTAAGACAAAATATCCAACACCAAAAGTTAAAGGAGGAAAGATTTATTGTAGCTTACAGCTTGTAGAGGTTTCAGTTCATAATAGGCTGAGTGGCATAGCAGATGGGCATCACAGAGAAGAAACTGTTTATGGTGGGCGGAAGGCAGTAAAGCACTGAAGTCCTGAAGCACCACTAACAGGAGCCAGCTTCTCCCTTTATCGCTCCCAAGCTACCTGTCCATTGGGTACTTATACCCAAGTCCAGGGTAGGCTTTCCCATTATCCACACCCAGAAATATAGCAAACCAATCAGCGTACTAATTTAGGAATCGTGCACCCTTAATCCCAGCAATATAAACTAGGTCCAGCCTTTCTGAAAACCCCACTTACAACCTCATGAGGCTTTGGGTAGTGCCTAGATAAAAACCATAGCAGACACTAATAAGGATGAGGGCTCAGGGAACTTCTCAAATTTCAAGAAGGCTCCCTCCTCAAGGGGCTGTAGATTATTGATCTTTCCCAATGAATCCAAAGACCTTTTAGGTGACACTCAGCACTTGGCTCTTATCTCCCTTCTGTATCAGTACAAACTGGCTTCAAAGACTGAATGACACACACTGAAACTCCTGATAGGAGACTTCCCAGAGTAGAACCATGGCAGAAACATGTCCCTGATGCAGGCAGGTGACAATTCTTAGTGGTCAGCCTGGAGCTAGCACAGTTCTGGGCTCCTGGCAAGTATTAACTCATTGCCTTCTCTCTACAACTTCCTGTGGGCCTGGAGCTCCCTCCCGTTCACTCCCAGGTGGTCCAGATGACCTGTCCACAGAGCCAAGTCAGGGAAGAACAGTGAGAGCCTCAGGCAGTGGCAGCACATTGCACACAAACACTCACCCAAGTTCAGAAAGTGCCCCAGGCTCACGCCTAGCCCAAATCATCCCTGATTACACAGGGACTGAGTGTCCCCACGCCACTTACATGGTCTATAAATCCCAACGTGAGAGATTGCATGAAAGACAGTTGATTCTCCACGTCTGGCCAGTCTTCCACTCTCTGTTTGGTAAGTCCTGCTCCTCCAATCTTCTCCTGGGATGCCAGAGTGCTGTTGGATGTCCCCCTCCCTCTAGGGAAACTGAGTCAAACAGTCCCTTGTTCGCAAAGCCAGAACCTGAACCCAGGAAGCCACACATCTGCCACCCTGCTGGGCAGAGTCAGAGGGGAGGAACAGCCTAAGGAGTGGCCTGGGCAGCGCCAGCCTTGTCCCAGTGCGTCCTCTGCCTCTATCTTTGCACCCAGGTCATCTTGTAGAGTCCAGCCTGAGTCAGGACATAGCTGTTGCTGGGATTACATGTGTGTGTTACTACATCTGCCCAACTCTGATGTTTCTTTGTTGATTATGAGTCTGGTTGACCTTTGTAAGAATGGTGTATTGAAGTCTATGATTGTATTAATGTCTAGCTATTATGTCCAGTAGTTTTTTGTGTGATGAATTTAGTTTGCTGACATTTAGTGTATATTTGTTTATAATTGGTATATCTTCTTGCTGAGTCATTCCCTTTATCAACATGTAGTGACTTTCTTTGTGTGTTCTGACCAGTTTTGGTTTCAAGTCAACTTTGCAAAAAGTTAGAATAGCTACACCTGCTTTCATTTATTCTCTGGCTTCTTGGAGTATCATTTCTTGTTTTTTCATGTTCTTTTGTAGATGAGGTATGTTGTTGGGAGGCAAAATATATTGGGTTTTGGTTCTTGAGCCAGTTTATTAGTTTGTATCTTTTGATTGGAGTTGAAACCCTTTACACTGTTGTTATTAAAAGGTGTATACTGATTCCTGTTACTGTATGTCTTTTAAATGTTCAGTTCCTTTTCTGAAAATTTTCCATTTTGTTTAACTACTCTCCCAATGAGACTTACTCATTTCTTCTGACTTTTGGGTATTGGTGATCTCCTTGTCTTTGTTTAGGATTCCTTTGAGTATGCTGGTTTCGTGGTAATGAGTGATTTTAGTTTATCTCAAAAGATCTTTGTATCCCCATCCATTTTGAAGGATAATTTCTCAGGCTATAGTAATCTGGGTAGGCAATTATTTTGTGGTAGAGACTGAAAAACTTCACTGCAATTACTCCTGGTCCTCAGGCTTTGTGTTGAGAAATGTGTTGATACCGTGATGGGTTTGCAGTTATATAATTGGCATTGTTTTCTGACATCTTATGATATTCTCTTTGCTATGAGCTTTTAGGATTTTGACTACAATGTGTCATACAGAAGTTTTTTTCTTGGCTATGTCTATTTGGGGTTCTAAATGCCTCATTTACCTGGGTAGTCATCTCATTCGCTATGATTGGAAAATCTACAGTCACTTCAGTGAATAATTTTTATGCTATATGTCTTTGCCTCTACCCTCTCTTCAAGATCAATGATTCTTAAGTTTGTTATTTTAAAGTCATACATGACTACACCTTTCTATTACTATTTCTTGCTATTTTTCACTATTCCTGAGTAAATATTCTACTTCATCAAGCCTATTCTCAAATCTTTATATTCTGTCATCTAAATGATCTTACCTATTGCTAAAAAAAGCTAGATTTTCATTTCTCCGATTTTTGCTTGATTCCTTGTCATAACCACTACCTCTTTACTGATGTGATTCTTTTATATCCTGGATTGTCTTTCTTAACTTATTCAGCAGCTTATTTTTCCCTTCTTTAAGATCACTGATCATCTTAGTAATTGATTCTTTCAACTGCTAATTATATCTTCTTTAGATTTATTGATCATCTTAGTAAATGACTCAGCTATTTATCTTTTCTTTGACCTCATCAATCATTGTAACTTAGTTTTTAAAGTTGGAAATGTATCCACTTAAGTGTTTTTGAGATCTGCTTTTGGGGAGGTATAAATGTTTGGCACATTTTTTGCATTTTTTTCCTATTAATGCTGTATTTTTGTGTTGCATATTATAGATCATCTCTTTCAAATTCTCCAATTTATTAGAATATGAGTTTTAAAAATAATTTCTATAATCCTCTGTGGTGTGAATAATTTTTATAACATCAGTTTCTACCTCTATCCCTTCTTCAATCTCAGTAATTCTTGAGTTTATTCTTTTAAAGTCACCGAGGAGCTCCTGTATCTTTTGAATTGTTTGTTTTTTCGTTTTTCCTAAGTAAATATGCTTCCTGTTCCAAAGACTTGCTCTCCTTGATTTTCTGCTGGTCATAAGAGAGACAGTACTGAGTCCACCAAAAATCTATACAACAGGAGGAGAAAACCTTGTATAAATATTTTAATGATAAATTTATTAAGACATCATGAGATTAACACAAGTTACATTTGTTCAATTGTAAGAGGTGTTCAAGGTGGTATCCATTAGCTTTCAGATATTTGCTAGTATGGCAAACTTCTGAAGTGTATATACATTTTTTTGGGCAGACTCTGTATCTATTAACTCTTTAGATAACTTCCAGCCCAATGTCTCCTCCACTTTCTCTCTTCTCTGAGTTCATGGTCCTCGGTCCTGTCTGTCTTCTTACTGGTCTTGAAGCCTGGGAGATGGCAATACCCACCACTGTTTTCCTCAAGGGCTGTCATATGGGGTTGTATCTGGGAATGAGCTTTGATAGCTACATTTATTCTATTTAGTTACCCCCATCATTCCTATATTATTGTACAGATTTTATTTGTGCTGGGAATGGAATCAGAACCTTGTAACATTAGGCATGTGCTGCTCCACTGTGTTAAATCCACAGCCATACAACATACACAAATGTCCCACCTATAAACACCACCATCACATTAGCTTTCCATTCTCCTAATACTGCACACGGGGGATTGGATTCCAACCTGAGTTTCAGAGGGAATAAATTATAGTTATCATAATAGATGATGATGTAGACAGTACAAGGTGCAGATTAAGAACATAAAGATGGTTAAGGAATTGAAATGGCTTTTACACGATGTCTACCGTTAATCAACGGGCATAACCATGGGCCCTGAAGCAAGGTTTGGCTTTCTCATCTCTGTCTTTCAGGACAATGTCATCTTCTATTTCTAGAGGCCTCTTCACACTAGTTGGCTTGTGCGTCCTTCTTCCTGGCTCCCAGGCTGAAGCTCCTGAAGAAATAAATGTACTTCATCGTGATCATGAACACCATAAATACATGGTCTGCAATAATATTCTCTACAGTGCTATTGACTTGGCCTTTAACTTGTACCAAGAGCCAGCCAGTTGGTTAAAAACTTCCAATGTCTTATTGTCCCCAATGAGCATTGTGGCTGCTATTGCCATGCTCTCTCTGGGGACAAAGGGGGATACTCACATGGAGATCCTGGAGGGCCTGAAGTTCAACCTCAGAGAGATGCCTGAAGAGCACATTCACCAGTGCTTCCAGTTTCTCCTCCACATCCTCCAGACTCCAGAACACCAGCTCCAGCTGACCATAGGCAGCGGCCTGTTTGTCAGTGACAGTGTGATGATCCTGAAACAGTTTTTGCAGGATGTCAAGAAGTTGTACCACTCAGAAGTCATCTCCATCAGCTTTGGGAACTTGATACTCGCCGGCGAACAGATCAGCTCTTATGTGGAGAAGGAGAGCCATGGAGAAATAGTGGACCTGATCACAGACCTAGAGGAAGACACAGAGCTCATTCTGGTGAATTATATTTCCTTCCATGGTAAGGAGAGAGTCCAGCCTCAGCCAGCTCCACAGAAATAACCCAATATGCTCTCAGAGCCTCACTGCTTGTACTTTCCTTGACATCTTGGTGTGGAACAGGATGGGTCACCCCAAGTTGGGCTCTCTAATACTCAGTTCACATGCAATGAAACAGTTTCTGTGAACCAAAAACATTGGAGAGTGATGATTTAATGTAAATCATGTCTCCATGTTCTCTGTGGGACTCACAGTGAAAATATCAGTGAGAGAGGGGCACAGGAAGCAGAATGTTTGCCTAAGAATCAGCAATACGAACTGGAGTAGGGTGGAGACAATAGTGTTTCATAATTTAAACAATACTAGAGTCATGGAAGAATGCGAGCTTTGGAGTGTGAGAGACAGGTTCAAATCCTGCCTCCACCACTCATTGGTCTTAATATAGAGTAAGTCATTTGACTTCTTAGAGAGTGCATTTTTTTTTCTTATCATAGCCAAAAAACCAAACAAAACCCACTGCTGTCATGTTTTGAAAGGATTAATCAAGGTATATAATACATGGGTTTGGGTGCAAATCCGTTCCTTTGTTATCAAGTGTTGGAAGGATTAATCCAGTTTTATAGTATGCAGGGGCACACAGAACTGGGCGACGAGCCTCAATATTCAGCCTACCTTCTTGGAAGCCGAGGTGCATTAGTACAGCAGAGGGGAGGCAGCTGGGCTGACCTGCTTCACACGCTGTCCAGGAGCAGGCCTCGGGGTGGAACCCAGAGTGTCTACCCTCAGTGTGACTGAACCACCCATCTGTCAGGAACAGGAAGCCTCCAGGAAAGAGTGCCCAGGTGTGACTTAGAGACCTCTGTTCATGCCCGATAATTTCATTAGCATCCTTGGTCCTGTAGCAAACACATAGAAAATGTAAATAAAGATGTTTCTTCTTTGGAGCCAGCTTGTCACAAATCAGCCTGAGTATATCCAAATTCCAGGTCCCCTTCCTGCTTCAGGGTATTTCGTGAAAGCCCGTCAGCAAGTGCTTGTCTTTATCCCATTTGACAGATGACCAGTGTGAGTCTCAGGGGGCAGTGTCTCAGGAGGGACTCAGGGCTGCCTTCCTCTGACCCAGGTCCTAAACCTCAGTCCCTCCCCTGCCTGACTCTCTCTCTCCAGGAAAATGGACTGTTCAGTTCCCAGCTGAACATACTGCGGAAGAAGACTTCTACATAGATAAGGACACAGTCATCAGGGTGCCCATGATCAATCGCCTCGATGTATTCTTACTGGGCCGGGATGAGGAGCTGTCTAGCTGGGTGCTGGTCCAGCATGCTGTAGGTGACGTCATGGCCTTCTTCATCCTGCCCGACCCAGGGAAGATGCAGGAACTAGAGAAAGGCCTAACACAGGAACACTTAGATAAAATCCTCGGAACCATAAGTGAAAGGTGAGTCCTCAGTGCCAGAAACCACCTAGGAGCTCTGAGCCATGTCTAGACGGAGGTCTTTTAGGACTGGCAGGGGCCTGGGGAGGGTGGACCCCACCCTTGGGTCACAGCTGTTGGGAATGACCTTGTGCTTCCATCCAGACCCAGTGTCAACCCACTGCAGTGGCCAGGCTCAGTGTAAGGGTCAGTAACCAGAGCACTGCAGGCACAGATCCTCCCACCATGGACAATGCCTCTTCCCACAGCACAGTTATGTCAGGATAAAGAACAGGGTAGGGGCCTCCAGGCAGAGGTGGCTGCTGAGTGTGGCATCTGTGCTGTTCCTAAGGGGAGAACCTGAGGTATGTGGAAAGGCCAGAAACAGGAACCAGTTTCTACTCAGCCCCTGCTGTACTCAGCCACACTCCACTGAGAGTTTGGTACTCCTGGGAGAGAGGGGACCACACACTACAGGACAGGATGATATCACTTCCAGGAGGGTACCTTGCATCTGTCCGAGTACTCCTTCAAGGCTTCTCTGGGGCTATCTGGACAAGAAGGTCCCTGTGAGGTTGACATTCTCCACGCCTGGTAGGGAGGGAACTGAAGCTCTGACCAAGCAGGGCAGCTTCTCATCCTGCTGTGGAGGGGACAGGGCACTGATACGAGACACAACCAGGAAGGACACAGGCTGGACCCCAGCAGAACACGAGAAACACTGTAAATCTGCTGCCTTTTCCCTCACGCCTGCCAGGTCTGCCAGGATACACTTTCCCCGACTGACCATTTCTGCAACCTACGACCTGAGGAGCATTCTGAGCACACTGGGCATCACCAAGATCTTCAGCAATGAAGCTGACCTCTCAGGGGTCACGGAGGTGGCATCCATCAAGCTCTCTGCGGTGAGGTCACATCCTGACAGCATTGCCCTCAGTGTCTGAGGAGCAGAATGAGTGTTGGGAAGAGCTCGGGTGTGTGGCTGGGCAAGGAATCACGGGCAGCAGACAAGGTCCGGGCTGAGCTCATTCCCAGGACACATGGAATTAACTGGGACAGGAGGGCCCGGAGGAGGGGACAAAGGAAGTGGCTTCCTGTGCTGCTGGCACTGCAGGGACCTCCTCTGAGAGTCTCACTAACTCTCAGTCTCATCTGTTTTAGGGCCTTTGGGCCCCAATTGACCCACATTTATTTCAAAGGTGTTCTAGAACCTTCCATCTGTGCAATTTAGAGCTGTTGGTGGAATACCAGGTCTGAATTATCAGTTCAGCTAAAGGGACCTACTGTTTAGAGAAAATGAAGGGGACCAAGAGAAAGTGCAGGCCAAGGAGGACTACATCCCATCACTGAGAAGGTCACCAAAAGAGTCCTTGTTCCAGTAGATCATTACCTTACACTGGACAGGAAGACTTGTGAGAGGATATGGCCTCCACACATCCTCCCTTCTAAATATTTTGTGAGAGGATGTGAGAGATGTGAAACATAGAGATAGAAAGGGGAGCAGAGGACACAGGATGAGGCCAGGCAAAGGCTAAGACTGAGGAAAAATTCTGGTGTGACCACATGGGGCAGGGGCTGTGGACAGAGAAGGACCACCAGGAGGAGAAAGGCCCTTGTGAGGCTGCCCAGGAAGAAAGTCACACTCAGGATTTGAGTCTGGCCTTTGGTGGGAACGGCCCATCCTCAGAGCCTGCCTCTGCCTCTTTTCCAGGCTGTGCATAAGGCAATGCTTACCATTGATGACAAAAGGATAGAGGCCGAGTGGGCCACTGACTTGGATGACAGTGCCTGGGCAAAGGCCCTCACCGTCAAGTTCAACAGGCCCTTCCTCCTCTTCATCCAGGAGGAAAACACCAACATGCTGCTCTTCATGGGGAAAGTGCTGAATCCCAAACAGCACTGACCGCTTCAGCGCTTCCCTGACCAGGTCTCCTTCCCGGGTGACATTAAAGAGATGCTGATCTGGCCACTGCCTGTGTGTGACCCACCCCTTCTTCCCCCTGTGTCCGAGTCTCCCTGTGCATCCCCAGGTTACACACGGAGGTCGCAGTACCTCTCAGTGTCACTGCACCATTGTGTGTGGGGTCCCTGCTGTGTAGTCTGTGCTGGGAAGGACAACTGTGGCTGTGTCCTCATCCTACAGCCCCGGGCCCCTCTGCTCCTGAAATCTCCAATCCTGCCTGGGCGACATGAGGGGCTCAGACACCAGCTCAAGGTCCACAAGTGTCTCCTGTCCCCCAGTGAATCCACACCCTCCCCCCCCACGCATGCACACACCCCACTGCCCACACTGTGTCTCCCTGCAGCGCTGGCCACACCCAGCCACTGCCCCTCCTGCTGCTCCCAGAGCTGCCAGCTCTCCACCTGGCACAAAGCTGCCACCTCTCCAGCCATGCCACCCTTCCCACCTTGTCACTTCATCAGACTTGGCTCCTACCGCCCACAAGTTCCTCCTGAAACCAGCAGCGCTGGGCTGCCATGGAGACCCTCCTCCTCAAGCTGGACAGGCACCAGCCTCACTCTTTGTCCCTCCATTGCTACCCCAGGAGCCTTGCACATCTCCTCATTGAAGCAGCTCCTTTCCCCATTTGCAGGAGGGACACTGAGTCTTGGCATCTATCCCTTCTCAAGCTCACCATGGCCACCATCCCCAAGGCTATTTACCCTCCATTCCTGCTCCTTCCTTGGCATGTGGCCATGGTACTTTGGGTGACTCTGTAAAGTTACGATCAAGTGTCCCAAGCTAAGGAGGAGGAAGAACACCACGGCCCACTCTTCAGGTCCCTGTTGCCTGCTCTTTCCTGAGCTCTACTTGGGGCCAAGAGTACCCCCACAGCCTCCTTAAGGTTTCCCAGGGATGCTGGAAGCTGGTGAGATAGCATTAGTGCATCCTGCTCCATCCTGGGCTCCTGGCAGTATTCCCCACTGCCTGGACTCTCCCAGAGTCCCTGTCCTTGGACTCACTGCCTTGCCCACTTCATCTGGAAACCACTATCTGCCCGCTCACAGAATGGGTGGGACATATGGCACAAAGTTCAGCCATATGATTCTTAAATTTTAGGTGAAAATTGTCAATGTGTCCATTTTCACATGCCTCAGTGATGGAAGAGCACCCAGGGTTTTACTCTGTCCTGGGGTAGATGGGAGGGAAGCAGCATGGCAGCACCCAGCTCAGCAGGGCTATGGAGTAGTGAACATTTTCCCAGGAAGAGCACATCCCTGTGGGCTAGATTACAGCCAGTACCAAGGCCAGCCTGAGGACAGCAGTACCAAGGCCAGCCTGGGGAAAGATCACCAAGGACCATATCTATCCCATCACCCTGAGTCCTGTGAGCTGAGGACTAAGCCACTTCCTGCACTGGGTTGTCACACTAAGGAGCCCTTTGGTGACACATAGCATTTGTCTCTTACCTCCTTGTGGTACCAAAGCAAACCAGACTTGGAGCTCAGACAGTGCACATTCCAGTCCTCATGAGAGACTTCCTGGAGCAGATCCATGGGGAAGAACACTCAGGGATGCATCAGGTAACCATTTTTAACTGCCACCACAGAACAGGCACACTACTAGGTCCCTGAAAGGTGTCCACCCGTATCTCCTCTCATCTGCTTCCTGCAGTGGCTCTGGGGTGGCCTCAGAGCACCCTCCAGCCCACCCTCTAGATGGTCTGGCACCAGTTGGATATGTGAACAAAGCCAGATCAGAGAGGACAACAAGGACCTCAGGCAACAGTAGTAGGTAACACACAGATACCAGCCACACCAGTCTCACCCCAGCAGTGTGCCTGGTCACAAAGGAACTGAGTGTCCCAAGGCCTGAGAGTGTGTAACGAACAGTCAGTGCTGTGCAGTCAGCCACAGCCTCCCTGTGGTCTCCACGCTCTGCTCAGTAAGTTGTGCTCCAGAGGCCTGATTTGCCAGGGTGCATTCTGTGAGCCTCCCTACAAGGTTTAGCCTCCTTGACATTCCATACAGGGAAACTGGGGCACAACGCAGCTTTTATGGCAGAGCTAGGACCTGAGTCCAGGTAGCTGCACCTTAGATCATTCTGGGCACACTTGGGTGGGTAAACTGCTCATCTTGCAGCTCCCAGGTGACCCAATAGGTCACCACAGGTGTGGGTGCTGGTTTAGTGCCTCATCCTCCATGTGACACTTCCATACCTAGTGGACACTGGACCCCTGTGATCCCCCAGTCTCTGTAGAGTGCTGAGGAGCAGCATGGGCATCGCCTGCCTCTTCTCCAGTGTATCCTCTGCCTCTGACAGTGCAGGTCCACCCCTTTGCTTGCTGAGCCTCGCTTTCCTGCCCAAGGAGCCCACATCCCTGATCTATTCATGTAACTCTGGGTCCCAAAGGGAAAGTGTACTCTATAGTTCCTCATATAACCTAGTTTCCTGTTCTCTTTCCTCCCCTCCTCTCCATTATTTGCATTCTCCCAGTTCTCGTCTGTGTGTTCTTTCCCTGTGCCGATGCTGCAAGTTTACAAAAGCCACCATACTCTCGCCTAAGACCTGCCTTCTCTGGTCATATCTGGGTGTCAGTTTTGATGGCTACAATTATTTCATTTCATCTCCCACCAACATATCCTGAAAATGAGTTTTGGAGAATCTTAAATATCTGATGTCTTAGTTACTTTCTTGTCATCGAGACAATTCTTGACACCTGCAAATTAAAAGAGAAACTTTAATTTGGCTCACAGTTTGTAGAGGTTTCAGTTCATAGCTGGCTCCAAGGCAGGGCAGCTCTGCAAAGAGGAATAGCAGAGGAGAAACAGTCCATAGCATGGCGGGGAGCAGAAAACAAGATCAAAGGAGGGAGGAGGAATATAGATCTTTCCAGGCCAGATTCTGGCAAAGTACCTCCTCCAAACAGGATTCACCTCCCAGCAGCACATTTATCTATGAATTCACCACTGGACTAGTGCACTAATTAGTACCACAGAGCCATTATCCAATCATTCCCCAAGCCCCACCTATGAGCTCATGAGACTTTGGGGGGATATCCTGATATAAACCATAACATTTTACCTCTAGCCTTCAAAAGATTCATGGGAATCCCTTTATGAAAAATGCATTTAGTTTATCTCTAAGAGTAGCTAGAATTCTAACAATTTTAGCATTGCTGAAAAGTTCAAATCCAAAGTCTTTTCTGATACTTTAGGCAAACTCTTATCTATGAGCACTTGTAAAAATGGAAATAATGTTAAATACTGCCAATGTACAAAGGCACAAGGTAACATGCCTGTTCCAAAGGAGAGGCATGAAAGGATAGAAAGAAATGGGGCCAAACCAAAACCAAAATCTAGGAGGGCAAATGTTAAATCCTACAGTTTAATATCTAGAATGCTGGACAAATTGTGGTGAAAAGTGGACTCCAAAGGGCTTGATTTGCTCCACCCTTAAGGCACTGCCAGTGGTTGTAGTGCTCACAAATTCTCTCTTGGTTTGGTTTTCCTCACTACTTGCAGTTTCCTTCAGGTGATCCATACTCCTGGATTCTGCAACTTTCTGGGGTCTCCAGTGCATCTTCCGCTTCACACAACTTTGTGAACTGCTCTGTAAGGAGTACACTGTCTGGCCTGTCAGGCCTTCTGAAATCTGGGTGCAAGCCTTCTTGATGCCACAACTCTTGCAATCTGCATGCCTGTAAAACCAACACCACCTGAATGATGTCAAGGTCTGCTATTTGGGAAATAGTCTACCTTTCTGCATCTTGCTGGGGTTGCTGAGGCCTCTGAGGGCCTGGATAGCTGCACACAGTGAAATGAATCCTGGGGAATCATCTCCCATTCCCTAGGCTGATGCTCTTCTCAAAGCAAAGTGCTACTTTTCCACTTTAGGATCTGTGAAAGGTAGGGCTTTCTGATTCCTCTCGGCCCTCAACATATCCTTTGTATTGTCCAGATCTAAAGAACTTGGCTTCTTTTTCAATGCTAACCTTTAAAGCAGTCAAGCTCTCTTTTACTCCATCTTTTCAGTACCCTACAGAACTGGAGCTTTCCTTTTGTCCAAACTCAAAGCTTTTAAAATTGTTCAGTTGTGTTTTACCCTGGATTCCCAAGGTAAAACTGGCTTAAAGCCTCCAACAGTACCTGAGCCTAAGCCTGACTGTCTGGCTGCCTTGAAATTTCCTCCTCTAGATTAAATAGTCCTCTGCTCTTTAGTCTCAGATCTCAGTCTTAGATGTCTCAAAGTTTCAGAATAGGAACAACATACATGCTCTGGAGCAAATGCCAATAGAGTTCTTGTTCATAATCAAAACCCCCGAGCTTGGTCTCTACATCTGCATTTCTGCCAACATTCTGGTCTTCTGAGGTCTGACCAGAATCTCTCATTAAGCTGCCTGCAGCATTCTAGGATTGCTTCTCCATTTTGCATTTGCAAACCTTTCCAAAATCCTCCCACAAGCCAGTTCGAAAGGCTTCTGAACTATAAGAAATAGAAATGTAAAGTGATCCATTTTTAAGATGTTTTTAACGAGTGCAAAGTGTTTAACTGAGTGCAAAGCTGCTAATAGACAAAATTGCCTAATTGCCTGAAGCCAAGAATGACGTCATGCATCTGAATGGCTCCTAATCAAGAGGGGAAGGACTAGATAATGAATAAAACATGACTTCACTCTGCTACCTCCAATTGGAAAAATACTGACAGTTAAAAAGTATCCACCTGTGGTTTAATCATTTACCTTCAAACTCACAAAATGTTTGCAGAGATAATAAGCCAATGGTCTAGGCAGAGACTGGGAAGACTGTGCAGGCAACAGCATGCAGAAACATAGAAACACCACCCAGGAATTGGGGGCAGATTTATTTTTATGTTGACAGGCACTGATCAAGATCATTCCCAGAATATCAGACCCAGATTTCTGGTCGTCTATGGCTTTTATATGATGCACAAGCAGGAGGTACAAATGAGGAACAAAGGTGAGACAGAACAATTTGGCAGTTCTTCTGATTAGCTAGCAG